GAAAGAAAGACACTGCTACTCTCTTTCATCCCTCCCGCTTCATATCAGAGACTTTGAAAGTTGAATCTATGTAGCTGGTTGTTAGCAGAGCTGCATGACCTATCTGAGAAAAGTGCCAATGCACACAAGGCTATGTTGATACTGTGGCTAATTTGCAGGTATGTGTCCTGTTAGAACTCTCCTCCCTCAAATACACACACTTCCAAAGCATTGACAAAGTGTTATACTTCTGAAAACAAAAGGCATTTTGTCAACTAGAGGTCCCAAACATCTCAGATCAGGCTTGTGGAAAATGAGTAGTCTCAGCCTCCAAGGGCCCAGAGAATGGGGCAACCAGAAGTTATGTGAAATCTAGACAGGCAGAGTTACAGTAAGTATTGGCATTCAGTTATTCCTGTCTTTTAATAGTCCCAGACAGTCCCAAGTCTGAAATAAAGGCAACTACACTGAATCCTCCATTGCATGAAGGCATGTTCTGAACACTCAGTCTATCCGATCCCCTATTCAAGGTTGAGACACTGATGGTTGTCTCTTAACTCAGCCCTCATCACAGAGCACAACTTACCATCAGTATAAACTATTTATTTAGTCTCCCTCTAGATTTCCTAACAATTTTGGGAACAGATTAGCTTCAGGTTCACAAACTATATATTATTTGGGAGCAGGATAATAGCATTTTGATTCCCTAGCATGCAAGACTCTCAACCTTCAGTCTCAAACTACTGCTACCTATCACACCTCAACAAATGTACCTACAACTTGTCAACTAAATATGCAGACTATACTTATGTGTTTGGAAATGGAAAAGTACAGACTTTGCCCCACCTGTTCTGTGACTGCAAAATCAATCTTTCTGTAGCCCAGATTTCTGCATAATGCCTCTATGCAGTGTCAAACACTGAGCTAACCTACCTGAAGGAATATCAGCAAGGAAGTCTTTAGCTATCCCTCTTTCTCTCCATGATTCCCTTAACATCAAAGATTGAGAAATCTGATCATGAACTATAAGATATCACTAGCTCTTTCCTCCAATTTGTGAATTCTTGAAACAGGAAGCACACATTTCTGGGTCTCAGAAGGACTTACAATTTGATTTGAATGAAAAAATGTCACATATATTTAACTACCTTTGATTTTTGTTATGGAAAGCTTGAACATAAAGTAATGCCTTACTGATTGAGCAACAGCTCCTTGGTCTTTCAAAAACTTATAAATCATATTTTCACAAATTTTGGATTATGTATCTAGATGATCTGTTCATTTACCTTGAGGATTCTGTTTTTCCTACCGATCAAATCCAACTGTTTTTCAATGCCTTCATTACTGCAGTCTCAATTTTAAACTAAAGTTTTGGTTTTCATAAATTTGACTATTAGGAATACTGCATTCTGCAAAAGGAATTTAGGTGGATCCATTAAAAGTAGAACTTGTTCTGTCTTTGGATTCTCTACTGTATCATCAGAGATACATAGCATTTTGTGGGCTTTGCCAAATGTTACAGTAGATGTATGTCTAATTTTGTTTAACTATCCATGCTATTGACCTATTTTATCAAGAAAGTGAGATTCTTATGGCTAGCAAGTCTTTATTCATTTCGTACAATGGTTTGCTTCTCTGAGATTCAGATCTATCTATCCCTTAGTTCTTTTAATTTTGCTTTGAGAGATGTACTTTTACTATACAACTCCAGAGTATGTGGGCAACATCCTTCTCTGCATTTTCTTTTCCAGGCAATTCCTGCCAAATGAAAGAAACAATGTTTTTTAAATCAGAACTTTTCCCTACATAGAAGTTTTTTTGGCATGTCTTATCATTGAAGGAGAGCTCCAAATTGATCACATGAATTTGGAATACTTATAGATTTTTGAGTAGCTCATGCAGTGCTTTTTTTCTTTTCTTTTTCTTTTTCTTAATTTTTTAAAATTATTTTTATAACACAATATAACAATACAAGACATACAATATTTATAAACAAACTCTGTTTACAGCTATTGCATGGTGGTCTTCTTTGTTATTCACAATTTCTCCTTCTTTCTCTTTATGTTATTCTGATTTACTACTTGTCCCCAACATTTTAATTGCAATATATACAATGTATTTCTCTCATTCATATCAATTTCCTATTTTTTATACTTTAACATATCCTTTCTTTATATTTTAACATTTCTATCTCCCCCCCCTATTTTTCTTCTCCGTTTTTCCTCCCCTCCAACCACTTATACCATTTGTGCCAAGTCCTATAGTATTCTGTGTCCTTTTTTTAAAAAGTTCTTTTGTCAGTTTATCCATCTCGGCACATTACAAGATTTTTTTTATCAGCTCTTCTTCTGTTGATATTTCTGTTGCTTTTTTTTCAAATGTCTTAGTTTCTAACTACAAAGCAAACAGGTTGATGCTTTCTTGTGTAAGCCAGCATGTTTTTACCCTTCAACTCTCTTTCATTCTGCACCTGGAGAAGTTAGCCATTCTTCCTCTGGCACAGGATTATCCTGTGAGACTCTTAGAGACCAATTTGAAAGTCCTTTCCTAACTAATTGAATCTGTATTCTGTAACAGCAGGACTTATGTGTGTGGGCTCAGCCACAAAACTTCCACAGGGACCAACCATCTCCTCTACTCTTGCCACACAAATGCCTACTTACCTATCCATTCTTCAGAGCTTTTTTGTTTTTCTCAGGATGTCAACTTGCTCCTTAACAATCTCATGCTTCCTACCAGCAGCTCCTAAAACTCTCTGCTGTAATAATCAGCTTCCCCCATTTCTATTGGCTATCAGGTTTGGCTTTCTACCAGATTTCTCTCTTCCATAAGATCTCTACACATAGAAGCCGAAATGTTTAGATTTTTGGACCATTTCCTGAAATTGCACTAATCAAGTCTTCTGGCATTTTTCTTGCAATTTCCAGACAATGGAAAATATATTATTTTCTAAAACTACCATGCCTTCCTGGCCATTTAGGGAATGAGAGAGAAATGTGTTTTGGAATCTCAACACAAGAGAAGTCGTCTGGAATATTCAATTCATTAGAAGGACCACCCAGATGTTGGCCATTCTTGGGAGACAGCAGACTATGTTCCTGCCCCACATTTTCTATGCTAGTTGGGAAGGAGGTCTAGAAGGAATCAAGATGGTGAGACCAGAACCTGAAATTTTCAGGCCAGAGGAGACAATGTAAATCAGAAGTCTTCCAAGATAACAATACAATGGCCAACATGAGAATAAAAGAAACCTAATAAAGATAGATAGACCTCTATATAGGCCTTGATATCTGTATACTGCAGCTGGCAAATATTTTGTGTAAATGACTTCTTTTTCCTGTCTGCAATAAAAAAAACCCAAATCTTTCCTAGTTTTGTCTGGGAACCTGCTGCTGAGTAAGCCAACTCCTGAATAAAGATTAAGTGTATGGAGAGCCAAGACGTACAACTGTGCCTAGTACAATGTGATGAATTGTTCTGATTCTCTTCACTATTTTCTGGATATAGTAGATGTTTTGCAGTACAGAAAATAGCAGGATAAGACAGAGTAAATCACAGGGATAATACAAAGCCAGAGTCCTGGGGACAAGTATTGATGTCAAAAGAGTTTGAATTACTCGGTGTCTCAGACCTACTCTATTATTTTAAACAGGACACATAGCCAAATTAAGCTTCATATATTATATACTTTTACTGGATTGTCCAACATGTGTTTAACATGCAGATATTTGTTCAATAATAATAGCAAAAGTAGCTATATTCATCCAATAAGTCAGACTAGAAAGCCACTCCATGATGCTTAATATGTTAGTCTCTAATGACATTTTCCTATCAAGCTTTGTTTTTAGCTAAGTAAGAACAGAGAAAGAAGTCTTGAATTGGGAAGTACACATAATGAATTATTTAGTTAGTTGGGATCCTACAAATATACACCACACCAACTCCAACTTCATAAAGCAGATTCACACTTTCTGCTTGGCCCACTGATAATAGAAACCATTCATTGCTTCCGGAGTGCAGACATGGCTGAGGTCCTCCTCCCCCTTCCTCTCCCAACCAGCAAATGTATCCCACACAAATGTTTACAGCTTTAGTTCAAAACTGCTCTTTTCCAACCTAACCCTTCAGAGCAGATAATCTCCACTGCTTTGTTTCACTCTAGTAGTAGCCCCAGTTTCAATTGACTACAGTGCCTGGCATTTCTCCTCCTGCCCGGTGTCTGGTCACTGCCCTAGACACTGTAGGTGCTTGCTAGATTCTCTGCTGATCGGCAGTTGTTGTTTTTAAAACAATCTTGTGATTGATCCAACAGTGGTTTGTTAAATCAATGAACTATTCTCAACTCCAAAAGGTCATGCTCATTCAATCTTGACATGTCCCTGTGGGGACTCTTAGTTTTTGCTCAGGCTGGGTGAAACATTGTCCCTTTGCTTTTCCACCCCCTGACCACAGTAAAGAAAGCTACAATGTCACTATAAGGTTAAAAAAAGAAAGAGTTGCTGCTAATGTCTAAGGCACAGATGTTAAACTTGCATAGTCACGTGATGTATCGTGACTTTTTCACCCTTTGCTATATCAGGCATGGGCGTGGCCAGCATGTGACACATCTGGCCCGCACTGGTCTAAGGAGAAAGAGTGGGAACTAAAGGCATGCATAAGTAGTGCAAACATCTGGAAAGTAATGGGATTAATGATTATAGGTTTAATGAGGAGGGAACAATCCCTCCCCACCAAAGAAAAGGCAGGTGCTGGTAGATCACCCTATATAGGAGCCAGGTAGTGAGGCTTCCTATAGGGGAAGGACAATAGGTCTTGCAGTGGCTGTAGTGTGGACTGAGCATCAGCCCAGTCACTTTACTAAGCCATTGCAACCTAGACAGTTCTTTCTGAGGTTGGCTTAAGAAATAACCAAAACAATAGGTTTAGGCTATGGTGCAGACCTGTCCTTAGCTAAACTGAATCAAAATGTTCTTTATCCAACATTCACATGATCTCAAGAAAGCCTAAAGCATGGCACCCACCTGCAAGTACTGATACGCTAAATCTTGATGGCAAGATTTAGATTTCAACAGCGCTCTGTCGATGGTAGCTGAAGCCTTTTGGCACATTTCTCGGGCATGGCTGAGTGTGAGCGTGGACCAGGACCCTCTTTTGATATAGTTTGACTCACTGTTGATGGGGATGTTGGTGCAAGTGGTGATCTTGAGGTCATTATTGCTCTTGGAGGATTTCAGCATATGTTCACTGATTGTGTTGTAAGCATGCATAAAGTATTTAGGCTGGCTGTGATCAGGCTGCCTGCCAAGGGTCATGAGGCCCATAGGGTTACGATAGTTGCAGGTGTCACTGTCTAGATTGTCATCTGAGCTCCACCAGCCTGATATGTTGGATCTCGTCCTGCGTTTAGTCTCTGTGGTTTTTGCACGGTCTTTACTCTTGCTTCTCCGGTTTGGTTTTGAGTCCTCAGTGCCTTTCTTGCCATTCACACTGCCTTTAGAAGCACCTTCCAAGGACTGTGACTTAGCGAAAAGTTTTTGGACTGAATGAACCAAGTGCCGTATTCTCCCAGGGTTTTCATTCCGGTGTTTGGCATCTGAACTTCTCTGGAACTGGAGGGTGCTAAAACCATCTCTGTGGATGGGCAGTTGTTTTTCAAATTGGTCTAGTAGGTTGGCAGGGAGTCTGTTAATTTTGGTGGCTTGGGCATGACTTGGAAAGGGGTTCTCATCAGGAACCTCAAAGTGAGAGTTGTAATGAATACGTGGAAATGTACTGCTGTTAGAAATCTGGTTGTTGAGTGGAAGTAGGCAGTCACTATGGAGAGAGTTGGGTGTTGAAAACCGAGGGTCCATTGAATAGGAATCTGTGGGACTAAGAAGATAAGGATTCCTATCTTGAGTGGCATAGAGTGAGTCTTGAGGAGAGTCCAGGTTATCAGATAGATGGCGACTTCGGTTATCTCCTAACCCCTTCATGGTGCTGAGGTATCCTAGAGCATTGCTTCTGTAAGATGGCACGGAGGATATATCCACTCTGTTCCTGGTCACTGTAGCTTGACTGGGAAGTTTTTCTACAGCCAAAAAAAGATACAGAAAGAGTGATTAAAAGATGGAAAAAATATGTTCTCAGGATCTATCTACAGAAATCCCTAATACGCACAACTACAAATGAGTGATAGAAATAATCATTCGAGAAACCAAGAGACCTCAATTCAAACAGGACAATGATTTAAGTTATTGCATTTGACAATCCATTCCCCTTTGAAAATCTCACTAGGGTATCTGCTTTATTTCCTGGGCAACTCAAAAAAATTTCTGGCATATGAAGTTGACCTCATTTAGAAAATTCTGAATATTTTTTTCTATCCCACCTTTATTATTATCTTTGCAGTTGTTCTGATATAATATGAATTTACCTTAATTAACTGGGACAATGAAAATTTACTGTTTACATCAAGATATATAAAGTTATGAGACCAAAGGAATGAAATATTCACATGTTGTACAAGAAAATTGGTGCATAAAATCTTACAAAAGGAAAGCAGTTCTGGATTTGGCACGAATTGACAAAAAATAATCTGCCTCATCATTGTTCATTATAAAGAAGTATATTGGTGAAGAGGTGTGAAAAAATTGCAAAAACCTTTCTGTAGTTTGATTTATACCAAATTAAAACTAAAGAATGTAGACTATACATCAAAAACATTTCAGAAGCAGTAGAACACAGTTTCTGAGATCTGTAAGTGGGCATCGCACATCACCCAGAGGTTACCATATGAGGACAAATCATGCATTGACAAGATTGCTTGGAGGTGGGAGATACTTCTAATGTAATGTACCAGATCCCCTACCTGGGTTGCCCCTGTGATTATGTAAGACAGATGAGCAGGGCCGGATTTAGATGAAAAGAGGCCCTAGGCTATTCCACTTATGAGGCCCTTTCACCTATAGTGAAAGTGTAATTTTAATTTTGCTAACAATTTGAATGTAGGCCCCTCTTGATCTTGAGGCCCTAGGCTGAAGCCTAGTTAGCCTATAGGAAAATCCGGCCCTGCAGATGAGCTACCTAGCTGACAGCAAGAACACAGGTGAGCGGTCAAATGAGGAGACCCAAATTCATTGGTAGCATTCCATTGCAATGAACAAAGACATACATTCAATTTGGCAGCCACTAAAATTGTTGGCCGAGCAGGTACAAAAATAGCCAGGGAAATAACTGAAGCCTGGGAAACAGGCCCCTTGTCAGTCACCAGGAATGCTGATTTACCACCAGCTTATCCGGTACTTAGGAATTGAAGACTTGACAGCACAAAGAAACAACAGCCAATGACTTAATAGCTGACCATCAACAGCCCCATGAACAACTAAAAAGATCACACAAACAAGTACCCCATAAATACTATGCCTGTGTCCAAGCACACTTTCTGGTAAAAATAAGTTTCCTGAAAATGGGCTCCAGCACGAGTCTGAAAACTTGGGAGACTAATTGTCTGGTCCTGCTGAGCGACCCAGATTGGATAAAGCATGTAGATTTAATTCAGTCTTTCAAACTGAAATCAGTGGTGATAAACAAGATTTAGACCAATAATTACATTGTAAGAAAAATAAATATAAATGAGCTGTTTGTTCCTGATACTGTTAACAGATAATGTTTCATTCTAAGTTTTGCAAACTTGAACGGTCTTGTATCATAGTTTTAATCACTGGACTATAAAAAGTCTAAACCTTGAGAAGGGCTTTGCTTGTAGAAACATGCAAATAAAGCTGTTTTTATCTGCGTTTGTATTGGCATGCCAACTGCTTTGGGCTGGTTCCTTTCCCATTCCTCATCATCCTACTGTATACCAGCCACTCCAAGGTTTAGAAGCAAACAGCTGGGAGTTCATGTCCAATTCACTGCAACTGCAATGATAAGACTGTAAGTGGGTGCTTGCATTGATATGATATGAATGGCTCCATGGAGTAAGCAGTGGGGTCAGCATAGCAATGGGCCATGATTTCCTATACAGCAAAGTAATTGGACAAGCAGAAAGGTCAAGAGCAACTCAAGAAAATCAATCATGCTTTGAAGTTCGGAAACATCCATATGGATTTGCTCATGAATATGAATATAGGGGAGAAATAATATAGTTCTCTGTACACAGTTCCACAATTGTAAGAGTGTTTGCAGTTATTCAGGCTAAGATAATAGCCATCAAATCTTCTTCACTGATTGCTTCTATCTGAGTAATTAGCTCCTATTCCAGAGCAAGGAGGTTCTTTTATGGAGGTAGGTGCATTGTTGCATTTTTTAAATACCTGCTTTCTTTAGAAACATTATATATTTGGTCATTGTTATTAGAAGTGGCAAATCATTTGCATAGGATATTAGTCCCTGTTGGCTAGCTTACAGAATCATAAGTGCGAGATCCTTGGTGCTCCATTAGCTTGGTTGCTTTCTAACAGACGTTTCATTATCAAACTAAGTAACATCATCAGTGCTAGAAGGGAGTAGGGTTTGTGCTCATTTTATATACTAGTGGCTTGCCCTGTCAGTGATGGTGGGAATGATCTTGGTGGTTCCTTGATTAGTCTGTTGTTTACTGTTAGCTTGTTTGTCTGAGTTGGTGGTTCTTTAATTGGGCTATTGTTTATTTCTTAATTGTTTATTTCTTAATTGTTAGTCTAGTGTTAATTTTGGTATTAATCTTTGGTCACCTGGGCATTGATTATTGGTAAGGAGGTGTTTTGGTTTCTTTGTTTCCATTTTGGCTTTTAGATTGTCTCTTTTGATTGGTATGTAGTTGTTATTTATCTCTCTGTCATAAGTTTGATTGGCCTAGTGCAGGGGTGTCAAACTCGCAGCATTATGTTGTCGTCACGTGACATATCACAATTTCTTCTGCTTCGCTAAAACGGGAGTGGGCATGGCCAGCGCAGGACGCATCCGGCCCATGGGCCACGAGTTTGATACCCCTGGCCTAGTGTAAATGAGGCATGTTTTATGCAGACTTGCATATCAGGAAAAGCTATTTTCTGTGTAGTAATGGAACAGTGGTGGGTTTCAATTTTTTTTACTACTGGTTTTGTGGGTGTGGCTTGGTGGGCATGGCATGGCTTGGTGGGCATGGCTTGGTGGGTGTGATAGGGGAAGGATACTGTAAAATCTCCATTCCCTCCCCACTCTAGGGGAAGGATATTGTAAAATCTCCATTCCCTCCCTACTCCAGGGGAAGGTTACTGCAAAATCCCCATTTCTTCCTGATCAGATGGGATTTGGGAGGCAGAGAATAGATGGGGGTGGGGCCAGTCAGAATTTTTACTACCGGTTCTCTGAACTACTCAAAATTTCCGCTACTGGTTCTCCAGAACTGGTCAGAACCTGTTGAAACCCACCTCTGTAATGGAAGTAGTTCCATCACCCATATTACCAGATAGGGGGCATTTCTTTTTCTTCATGAGCCACATTGAAATGAATTTGAAAAAAAAACAACAGAAAGAAATGAATGATTGTAATGCTATATAATTAACTGATTTTTATTAAGATGTTGAATTGTATTATTTGGAATACATATATTTGACAAAGTAATTGAAAATTAGAGTTAAGATTTAAGGAAATGTATTGTATAATTTGGTTTATTATTGCTAAAAGAAATGTATGATTGTAATACTACATAATTAATTGATTTTTATTAAGACGTTGGATTGTATTATTTTGAATAGTTGATAATGAAAAATATTTGTGATTATAATAAGGGAATATAAGGAAATATTAGAAATTACATTATGTTATGAGATTTTAAGTTTAAGGGGTTTAATTTAGAGATGAAAAGGGAAAAATGAATTTTATTAAGATCAGAGGTTAGGATGAAGGGTAATTTTGGTCTACAAAAATTAGAGAGAATAAACACTATGGCAAAAAGGGTATATATAAATTGTGTTGGAAATGACTAAAAATTGTTTACATTAGTGAACTGGCCAATACTCTGTTCAGAAAAAATAAATTGTATGTTTGTTTGTGTGTTTGTGTAAAAAATAAAAAAAAACTTAAAAAAAAGAGAGAAATGTATGAGAGGTGATCAAGAGCACAACGGTTGCTGAACTGTTTGCATTTATTTCCAAAGGTTTCTAAAGGAAGCACTTGGAAATGTGACTGCATTTGTTACTAGTCATCCTTTGCTATCTCCTCTTGTCAGGACAAAAGTTGATGACAAGAGTTAAAAGATGAATTATTTGGTTTTGCCAATAGAATTTTGCAGCTGCTATGAGGCCACATCATTAGCAAGGATGGGCAAAATTGGCATCCTTCCCTACACAGCATAAAACATAGCACACAAGCTACATTAGGATTGTACAACTTGTATCCTTTTAAGAGAAAAAGCATTTATTTCAAGTTTTTTTTCCCTTTTACATGACAGACTAAGCCACTAACACAATGGCAATGCAGGTAGCAGAGTTCTTCTTTAGATTGAACTAACTTTTTAAAGACTCAGAACTTTTAAGGATGGGCTAGACCTATTCAATGGATTAGCTTTCCCAATGTCACTTGGGAATTGCACCTGAGAGTATAAATCCAAGAAAAAAACAAAGAAGAAGAAGAAAGACTGCCTGCATCGTTATCTTCTCCTTGGCTCACTGAAGTTATCAGATAGCTATTTCTAAAAGTCTCTCTGAGCCAGACAAATTTATGATTTTGTTTCTTGCCTCACAATAGAAGTATGGAAGATGGATTACAAAGCATTGGATAATCTCACTTGATCATAAATTGGGCTGGAGTTCCCTTTAGCAATAAAATACCATATCTCTTATCATCCTTTACAGTAGCAATGGATAATAGATACACTTTCAGGTATTCTTGAACTGCAGGTGTCCTTCTTTTTATCATTATCCATGCTGGGTAGATTATTTAACAATATTTAGGGGATTTCGTCATGCCCATTCTTTGATTGAATGAGTAGGCTATCTGTTTTTTTCCTACTTTCTTTTCCTATGAAAGCATTTAAATAGATATTGTTAGAGTCACTGTCACTTGGACAATAACTGCACAATAATGTGATTATAGACTGTCTCTGACTTAATCTGCTTTAGAGCA